TCTTTCCCTTTTGAAACAGAATAGAGGTAAGTGTGTAATGTAGTTATTACTCAAATTTCTCTTGTTGTTAACAATTAGATTCAGAAATTGCTGTACTTGAAAAAGGATTTGTCCTACCACACAATGAATAGAATGAATGCCAATACTACTGATCGGAGTTGGAGAAATGAGATACCACTCCCTAGCTTAGATACAGAAGCAGCAGGGCAGACCCCAGGCATACAAACCACACACAGTGGTTCTCTGAGCTGCTGTTCTTTTACGGACCCTTGAGAAGGAGTATTTTTATTTAGTATCTTTATAATATTCTTCTCTTATTCACTGCTGCATCTTCTAGAGAGTTTTAATCTTACTTTGTCACTGTTTTTAAGTAATTTTTTAAAAAGTGAATTGAGAGTGATTACAATGGAGGTGAAGGCAACAGTTTATTAATTTATAGACAAAAATAACTAAATTAAAAAGTCGAGATGTTATTGTGCCTCTTGTCTACATTAAAACAATTTTATTAGTTGTAGAAAAAGCTAATTCTACCAACTTAATGTGTGTTTATATAAGCCTCCCACAAATTTGTTCAAATTTATAAAAGCACAGATCTAGAACTGTCTTTTTTTTTTTAGCCATTGCTTTAAAAGGGTCACTGCCCACAAAATGTATGTCTCCCTTAGGCTAATATTTTGCAAAAATAAAAAATGTTGTCTTTTGTGTCTTAAGTTTCTCCCCAGTACAGTTGATAATTCTATACAGTTATCTTCAACAGATAATACCCCATTTTTTTTGTCCCATTAATGCTTTGCCTCTCGATTTTTCTCCTTAATGTCCTTCCTCAGACTCTGCTCCTTCACCAACTCTCTCCTCACACTATTATCTGGTATTCATAACCATTTACTGTGTTTCTATATCCTTTAGTCATTCAGTTTCAGTCATAGAGTGCAGACACTCGGTATATATCAAGTGGGGACATACAATGTCTCTCCTTCATAACCTAGCTTGCTTCATTAAGTAGTAATTTTTCCATAACAATGATACAGTGACATTTTTCCTGCCCCAAATTTTAATCTAAATAAAAACAGAAAGTATCAATAGAACATACAAATTGTGAAACATTCTACAAAATATATCAATTTTGAGACAGCTAGAAAACATCTGGTAATTTCTTCTCAGATTAGAAGAGATCCAATATACTATGTGATCTTGGATTGCATCTTTGACAAAAGGTTCAGAAAATGCTGTGTTTAGAAACAGTGTCAATTCTTCGTTCTTAAATGTTGGTATGGTATTATGATAATACTAGAGAATATCTTTGTGCTTGGAAAAAACTAAAAATTTAGGGATAAATTGGTATCATGGATCCACATTTGTCTCAAGTAGCTCAGAAAAAAATAATAATAGCATATATCAATATACATACAAAGAGAATGATAAGCTAATACAAAAAGAAGTAGTTATAGAATATGTGTGAACTATATGATATAATTGTTTATTATTCTTGATATTTATCTGAAACTTTGAATTACTTCACAATAAAAAGCTAAACTAAAATGGAGAAAACATTGAAGCCACGAAAGTTTAGTCAAGTGAAGACAGGTATATACAAGCTTCCTCTGAACACACTTTGACATAAATAACTCCAATTTTCTTTGATTCTTCAGTTCTGGCCTTTCTATCACACTTCAATCCTTGACTACCTGTCATTAAAGAATGGGGTTCAACCAATCATGGGTCACAGAATTCATCCTACTGGGATTCCAGCTCAGTGCAGAGAAGGAAGTGCTCCTCTTCTGGGTCTTCTCTCTGTTATACATCTTCAGTCTGCTGGCAAACGGCATCATCCTGGGACTCATTTGGTTGGATCCTCAATTACACACCCCCATGTACTTCTTCCTCTCACACCTGGCCATCATCGACATATCCTATGCTTCTGGCAATTCACTCAACATGCTGGAAAACCTACTGCAACACAAAAAATCTATCTCTTTTGTCTCATGCATTGTACAGATGACCTTTTGTTTTATTATCGCCTCTACGGAGTGCATTATTTTGGTGGTGATGTCCTACGACAGATATGTGGCCATTTGCCATCCTCTCCAGTATACCATCATCATGAACTGGAGAATGTGCACAGTCCTTGCTGTCACTGCTTGGACATGTGGATTTTCTCTGGCCATCATAAATCTAATTCTTCTTCTGAGATTGCCCTTCTGTGGACCCCAGGAAGTGAACCACTTCTTCTGTGAAACCTTATCTGTCCTCAAACTGGCCTGTGCTGACATCTGGATCAATGAAATTTTTCTTGTTGCTGGTGGTATGTTTACTTTAATTGGGCCCCTTTTCTTGATGCTAGTCTCCTACATGTGCATCCTCTGGGCCATCCTGAAAAGCCAGTCAAAGGAGAGTCGCAAAAAGGCCTTTTCCACCTGCTCCTCCCACCTCTGTGTGGTTGGGCTCTACTTTGGCATAGCCATGGTAGTTTACTTGGTCCCAGACAACAGTCAACGGCAGGAGCAGCAGAAAATCCTTGCTTTGTTTTACAGCCTCTTCAACCCATTGTTGAACCCCCTCATCTATAGTTTGAGGAATGCTCAGGTGAAGGGTGCCTTCTACAGGGTACTGAAGAAAAACAGAGGTTCATGATCAAGGGCGGCATTCTAGTTCTGTGGACTTATCCTCTTACAAAATGTGTTTTTCTTATGTGACAAACTTCTGGTAATGTCCACAAGAATAAGCTTCACTTAAGAACAAGAATTACCAGGTTTGGCAGATGGTGTGGTGGTTAAGGCACTGGATTCCTATATGACCGACTGTGGTTCAGACCTGGTGACTTGCTTTTTCATTTTCCTTCTCTCTCTCTCTCTCTCTGTCTCCCTGTGGTCAAATTTAAATACTACTAATAATGACAAGAATAAATAAACAGATAACTTAAAAAAAAAAGAATTACCTAAATTGTGACACTGAAAACTGGAGATAAATGACATGCATATCTATATCTTTCAAACTGAATAGCTCTAATAGCATATCATTTACATAGCTAAATTAAAATATTAGCTTTTTCATTTGAAATAATGGAAAACTAAGAAGAGACAAAGAAAAATGAGACACTCTTGGCCAGGCTGTGGCTTCTGTGTACATATGTGTGAAACCAGCCACAGAGATGAGAGGATTTACACATGCCTAAATGGAAGGGCTGATGTGAAGAGATATTAGTTGACTTATCCACACTTACCTAATGATAGGGTAAAGACAGGCATTCTAACTTCTGGATAAGTCCTGCATTAAAAATTTTCCCATATCATTTGCTATTAATTTTGTTATCACTGAGCAAATGTCAACAGGCGTCAAAACAAGTCCAAATGACAGTTCCTATAATCAGTCTTCACTGCCTTGAAATAGTCAAGTTGATTTGATTGGTGTGAATGTCAAGGCTGCTGGTTGTTTTCTGAAAATATCATAGTGATGGAGACATATAGTACATTTTTTTTTCACAAGAAACATTTTTCAGGTATTAGTGCATTGTATGTTCAATAGAAACCATTGTCCAGGCAAGGAAATGCTCATACTGACTTTATTGCTTATTTCAATAAGTTGATGTTCAATTTAGTTATCTTTTGAAAAGATGTCAGTTACTTTTGTTGTTTTTGTTTTGTTTTGTTTTGTTTTTTAAGATTTAGGTTTTTCCTTACCATTTTATTTTTTCCTTCTAGTACTATAATAGTGTATTCCAAAACATCTTAACTTTTTAGTTTTTGGTTAAGTTTTTTTACATTTATTTACTTATTTCTTCTGTGAGAGAGAGACACAGACAAAGAGAGAGAGAATTACCTCATCTGATGGAAACTGATTAAATAAATATTAAAAGATTTTTCACTTTGAAATCAGAAAAGAAACACAATTAAAAGATAATCTGGAAAACAAGACTTGATATCTAAGATGTAAATATTCCTACTTGATGAAAATAAAAATTAATTCTAACTATTATAGTTAACCTTTCCATTTAAATCTGAGTATGCTTTATTTTTATTGTTTCTTTTTTATATAATATATTTTATTTTAATTTCTTTTATACATTCAATCACTATGCATTACTTAACTTGTAAAGTTAATTTTCCAACATGAATACATTTCACACAGTTAGGGACACTATAAACATTATCATCATGTATTCTTTTTTTCAATTTATTTTTATTATCGTCATAATCTTCTTTATATTACATTGGATTACATATAACTTTACAGTGTATTAATATTTCTTGCCCAGTTCTGAACTCTTGGCAGATTTGGGGAGCTAAATGGAATTTCATTGCAATGGTCTGAATGTTCAAGTAACCTCCAATTCTCAAAAATACTAATGTGATGGTATTAAGAGGTGGGGACTTTAGGCTATGACCAGGTCAGGAAGGCTCAGCTGAATGGGAGTAATGCCTCTATAAGTACAATGCTGCAGAACTTCTTTGCTCCTAAAGCCATGTGAGGACAGAGCTAGAAGGCATCATTTACGAATCAGAAAGGAGATGCTCATCTGACACTAAATCTGCCAGCACTTTTATCTTGGACTTTCAGCCTTCAGAACAATGAGAAATAAATCCCCGTTGTCTGTAAGCAATGAAGTTCATGATATTTTATTACAGAAGTTCAATGAAATCATGACAATCATTTATCTGATACATTGCTATGTGCCAATTCTCCCTCACTCAATCATATTTATAGAAAATAAAATATCTAAGACCCTCAATCAATCATATTTATAGAAAATAAAATATCTAAGACATCATAGAGCCTTTGCTTCAAAAAAAAAATACCTCATCTTTTTTAATTGCCAGAATGTGTATGTCTGAGAGAGAGAGAAAGAGAGAGAGAGAGAGAGAAAGCACTCTCAATGGGGCTTGATCACAGTGCAATCCCTTTTCTTCCATTTTTTTTTCCATTTGGCACCTGTACACATAAATGTCTGGCTTTTTTTTTTTTTTTTTTGGAGAGGTTTTCGCTATAGGGCGCGTGCGCTCGCCAGACAGACAGAGAGAGACATAGAGACAGAAAGCGAGAAATCACCCCCCCGGGGGGGATGGCCACGCCGCAATCCCTTCTCCTCCATTCTCCTCTCGGGATCTTGGGCACGCACGCACACGCGCCCGGCATGAGTTTTTAAGCCACCGGGTCCGGGACGCGAACCGCGGTCGACTACGTGGGAGTCCAGCGACATAGCCATTACGCTAACTGCTGGTTCCCAATGTCTGGCATATTTTTCAAGTCACTGAGGCCAGGATTCAAACCATGGTTGGCTGTGTGGGATCTGGTTACCTAAACCATGAGACTAGACTGGCACAGTCTCTCATTTTAATCAATGCAGCCCTCAGATTCTTGGTATGAAAAACTTCGATGCTCTTTTATCTATTGAGACTGTCAACAAATTCTGACCCCAGTTTTCCTTTAGGTGAAATATAACTATAAAATGATTTCATGCACATCCTCAAGACAAGTTTTATATGGTATAGTCTATATTTGAATTAAATTGAATGCCCTTCATTTCAAATCCGTCATTATTTGATCCTTAACTTTGTCTTGAAAAATAACTAAAGACTTATGGTGACAATATAATTATTTTATAGTTATTCTTTAATAAATATTACAGTGATCATTTTAGTCTTTGACCCAGACTGCATATTTAATATGAGCTTAAAGGGCCTCTCCATTCATATGATCTAGTGCCCAGAATACCCTGGATCTATAAAGCAAAAATAACTGTGGTATCTTTATTTCGTTTTATATTTTTTCCCCGGACTTTTAAAAAATAAGCCTAGAAAGCTTCAGCTAGCTGTGACCCTTGATTAATGGTCAATATTTTGTGTGAGTCAAAGCTCTTCAAACAAGTAGAAGGTTAAGACTCAGAAAATCACCTCGTATGATTTCTGATGCAGCCCTTCAAACTTGTACTATAAGGTTAATGAGAATCTATGCTTGTGTGCAAGAAAGTCTTAGAGGCAGTCTTTAATACAATACATATCTACCTTATAGCCAGAAAAAATAAATGCCCACTGTCAATATGCCTGCATTATTCCAATCATTCTATTTCCGCAGATCTTAAAAAACAAAAACAATTTCTTACATAAAGAAAATGTATGGGGATCAGTAGACGATGTAATGATTAGGTCTCTGGACTCTCACATAATCGACTGTGGTTCTAGTCCCAGCCTGGTGGCTTGAAACGCATGCTGGGCACGTGTGTGTGCATGCTCAAAATCCCAAGAGGATAATGAAGGAGAAGGGATTGTGGCATGGCCATCCCTACTGGGGGCGTGATTTATCGCCTCCTGTCTCTCTGTCTCTGTCTCTCCAGCGAGTTCATGTGTCCTACAGCAAAATTTTTAAAAATTCTCTAAAAATAAAAGATTGAAATTGAAAGAAAACAGAAAACTTACTGGTCCTTTTTACCTTAATAACAGAAGAACATGGGTGCACTTTAAATATTCTTTATGCTTAAGAGACAAAAAGAAGTCAGAAGTGAAATTAGGGTTGTTGGGTTGATGCGTAATTACATCCTAGTCAAACCTGCAAAAGACAGGGCCATTGCCACAATGGAGAAGGACTCTCTGGTGAAACTTTTCTGTATTTTTTTTTTCTCCTAAAGTTTCAACTAACTTTCACAAAGCATTCTCGTAATAAACAGATGTTGGGCAAGCAGATGGCATGGAGGTTAAGGCAGCTGGATCCCAGATGGCGAACTGTGTGGTTTGAGAATACTGAATACTGTAATTTGTGATATCTCTTTCAGGTAGTTGACTGTTAAGATGAAAAACTGTGTGAGTACAGTTCAGTACCAAGATGTACCCACCTTCCCCTAAACTTTCTGCCTTGTACAATCAGACATAATCTTTGCTCTCCTCAGAGAAAATATTTGGGGATTAATTTCCCCACACCCTTAGGGAGAAAGTGAAGAACTCTAACATCTCATCAACCTTCTGGGAATTTACTTCATAGATAACACTAAATAAAACCTTTACACCTGGAGTTTTCATTTAGAACTCTATAAATGCTACTTTATTCCTCTAGAACCTTCCAGACTTTCTTATAGTAGATAACTAAACTCTACATGTTTTTTTCTAGGAAAAAGTATGAGAGGTCTTCAAAAAGTTCATGAAAAAATTGTATTATGAAAAACACAGGTTTCAAAATATTTTGCACCAAAATAAGACCATTTTTATTCATTTTTTTCCCCACCAACTTCTTCAAGTCTCCTCATATATTCCTAAAAAATATACAGTGCTTATACCTTCTTATGTAGAAGGGATTTGTTTGCACTGTGAGGTGGTTTTCAAAACAGATCATTAAAATAGCAGAGGGTGGCAGCAGGAGTAGCTACGGCTGTGTAGAGAGGAATGACGCTCCTGAGTGATACATCCTGAGTCCTGCCTGACTCAAAGCGTGTGCTCCAGGGGACAGAATAGACGCACACTGACCTCCCTCCACTCTGACAGATTCTCCCTTCTGGTCCAGGGCAGGGGAACCTGGATGGCTCAGGGACAGTCTCACCAGCACCTCCCAATATGGCTAAGTGGAAACACACTTGGGTGGTCGGCCAGCTTCGCTCAGCTCTGACTGAGAAGGCTCCTGGAACTATGAGCTACACGTAAGCAGTCATT